GAGCGCTCTACCACTTGAGCCACAGTGCCACTTCCGGTTTTCTAGTGGTTTATTGGAGATAAGAGTCTCACGGACTTTCCTGCCTGGGCTGGCTTTGATCCATGATCCTCAGATCTCAGCCTCCTGAGTAGCTAAAATTATAGGCACAAGCCACGGACTCTAGGCTTAGCCGGTAGTTTTCTATTCTGAGTCTTAAATGGTTGGTGTTTCATTTTGATTGATTATATCAGTTGTCACCTGTCCCTAAACATTATTTAATTACATAGTTATATCACCCATCTATATTTAGCAGTTTTCTTATTTTTGAAGGTGGGGAGGGGAGAGAAAGAATGTATATGGCTATCACAGAACTCAGCCACAGATTCACAGCAAGTCAATTTACTTAACAAAAGAATAGTTAACATCTGTCAAAGGCCCTTGTCCTCTATTGTGTACAAATGAGTCATGTTTCTTTTCAAGATTTCATTTTGTGACATGAGGGTAAAAGACAGTGTTTTCTTAGATTATCTAAAAATGACATTCAGCAAAATGGTGTTTCAAAGATTTCTACTCTGCCTCATTTAATCATTCCTTGTATATGATCAGTTAAACACTTGCTTGGTGATTTTTAAATGGTTTGAAGGTTTTAAACAGAATAAATGAAAGAGCTGAAAAAAGTCTTCACCCCTCAGAAAAGTCAATGAGTTGTATAAAAGTAAATAGAGTCAGAGATGAGACCATTTCCCAACTTAAAATCAAATGTTTCCATTAGCACAGTGAATTTGCCCTTTGTGGTGCATTAACACACCACTTTCTCTGGCCTCCTCCTGCTAATCTGTGTTTCTGGAGCTGAATGATTTTGAGAATTTGACATCTGAAAGTTTGTGGCTTTTCATCTAGGCAAAGAAAACAGTGATAATGGATATCTTCCAGCTGCATACCTTCTGACACTCAATGGGTTTTATTTGGATTAAGAAATGCAACTGTTTTCAGAATCTGAAGGGGAAAGAAAGCAAGCAACATATACAGTTTTATGCCATCACATTTTGAACTTGGGCTTTGCACTACATTTACAGTTTGGAAAAAAAAGAGCAAAGTAAATAATAGGTGAAAATCTTGCCAGAGCTTATTTACTCACCAATATGATTTACAGGTTATTTGCATAACTACTCAGGATAATCATGTGACTTTTAATGTAGCATTTAGCCTTATTAGCCTAGTTTGTCTCTATAACAGTCTATAAGTGATATCTGAAACTAAATTTATAAAGTTGATCACAGTATATTCAGAACCACAGAAAACTTGGGGTTTTGTTTACAAAGTTATCATCATAAACAGATAAATGGTGTAACAGGGTTAATATTCTGACTTATTAGGAAAAAAATAATTATTGCAAATAAAAATTGCAAACATTTCAGATAATTTCCTCAGACTTACAACTTCCATTGAAATAACTGACCAAACTGCAGAATGCTCCAATGCCTGAAGATCTTATTGTGGAAAGAGATCTGATCATCAAATAATTCTCAGGTAAGGTTGATTAACACCTACTTTCTATTAAAACTGCTTCAAGTAAGAATACAGAAGCAGGAAAGAATATCTAGTTCTTTTCTGGTGCTTTCCATTATCCTAGCTAATTATCACAATACTTCTCTTGGATCCTCAGGATTAACAGTTCAACTATCTCCTCTGTTTATTTCACACACTGAATTCACTGCTGCACTAAAGTAGGTCTTTAGGCAACTTTCATTTGAATAACCTTCCTACTGCAAATTTAATTTAAAGTTGTGCTATTTTATGAAAGTCATTGAACTGCGTAAATTCCCTTTCTAATCTGAAATTCCCTTCATACAAACATATGGACATCGTGTGGTTCTTTGCTACTCTATTCCTTTACAGCTCAGACAACCTCTTCCAGGTACTGCTATTTCACTGTCTATCTCCAAGCACCACTGGGGAAGCTTTCCCCAGACCCCTCCCCCCCTGGAGTTACCATAGACTCCAGACTCAAAGCTGGAAGAGTTGGGGCTATGCTTGACCAAAGGATATAGTTGGGTACACATGGGCTCTTGATGTCTGCTAGTTATTACTATGCTTGTGGGAAGGGTAGGTAGGCCTATCATTATAACCTAAGAGAAAGAAAAAGCTCAGGTTGCATCCCTGAGTGTGGTATTTGCAGTTCAACAGGCAATGGTTCTATGGGAAGAAAAAAAAAAAAACTGTTGATACCAAACTTGCATGATTACTTTTAATGTGAAAGTTACTTGTACTCTCTTTTTCTCCAGACATTGCCATGCTTTTTTTTTTAAGGGGGACAGTTTGGCTTGTTTCACCCCCTTTCTTTCTTTTTGTGTGTGTGGCAGCTGCTGTTTGATCTGCTCATTGGCTCTGATTTGTTTCATGTTTCAGCCAAAGATTAAAACTGCTCTGTAATTCTAAGCAGATGGGTCTAGAAGTCCAACCCTATAATTATAACTTCTCTCTTTTGCTCTGGAACTGCAAGCATTCTATCCTGACTTTTAAGATGCTGGGATCACTGGGACTCTTAGTACACCTTGGCAATCAGTCCGCAGGTCTAGCCCAACCAGACTCATTGGTTCAGTAGCAAGGCCTGCAGAACTGCAAGGAAAACAGCGAAGCAGCAGTTTACTGGTTACCTCTCTTCTACTAGTCCCTTGATCCTCTCAGGGGTTGAGAGGCAAATTTTCAGTCCTAGCTCCAGTGCATTATGAAGTTAGGGCCAGAAGTAAGTTTGGAGGTTTGAGGGGCTGTGATGGGTGTCAAGGAAGGGAATCAGTGAAATCATTGCTGAAATGCCAGAACATCTGAACAATAACAACGTGTTCTCTTGTTGCCTGTGTCACAAGAATCCATACCCACCTGCACTGGGTGCTAGTGTCTCTTGCCCATAATTCTAGCTACTCAGGGGGCTCAGATTTGGGTTTTGCAGTTCAAAGTCAGCCGGGGGAGAAAACTGTGAGATTCTTATCTCAAATTAACCAGTAGAAAGCTGGAAGCGGAGGTGTGGCTGAAGTGGTAGAAAGCTAGCCTTGAAGTGAAAAAGCCAAGTGAGCAAAGCCCAAGCCCCAGCCTGGGAGGGCAAGCAAACACACACACACACACACACACCTGCCACAAAACATGCCCAGTCCATCACACACACACACACACACACACACACACACACACACACGCCACAAAACATGCCCAGTCCATCCTTAAGCAATTCTGACTTATTTTGCTAGGTGCAATTTCTGGACTATTTCTGTGTGCTGAGGTTGTCTGGCTAAGAGTTTTCTAGAACTTTGAGGAAACATAGCCCACAAGGTACAGAAAGAATAAGATTCCCAAAGCAGCCTGAGAGGACTGAGGCGTGGGGTTCCCGGGAGCCTTAGGAAACAGCATTTCATGGCTCAATCTTGGTACCAGGAGTCCTCCTGCGCTGCACGCAGAGAACGCAGCGATCCACCGGGAGAGAACCGCACACGACCCTTAATGCGGAGCCAAAGTTCGCGCGGGCGACCCAAGGTGGTCCTGGGATGGCAGGCAACCCCCGGGAGCGTGAGTCTGCCAGGTAAAGGACTGGACGGCAGCGGAGGCTCTGCGGCTACGCTCGAGCACCTTGGAAGGGAGATCGCAGAGCCTGCGATGCCGTGAGTGGATCACGGTTTTCCCCGGGCACTCACCGGATTCTGGGGATACTAAGTGTCTGTGTGGGCGCCGCTCGCACCCAGCCCGAAAGAGCCCTCGGGCTGGGCAGCCCAGCCGCGCTGGGGCCGCCAGGGGCCCGGGCCCGAGCTGGGCCGGGCGGGAGGGCGGCATGCTGTCCCCGAGGGCGATGTCCGCCCGGGGCAGCGCAGCCCGCGGCTACTCACCGTGCAGCCAGAGGGCCGGGAACAGGTATCCGAGCAAGAGGCGGCGCACGCGGGACATCTCCAGGGCGCCTGGGGGCCTCCGCCCGCCGCCGTCAGAGCCGGTCCCCGCCAAGCCCCGCAGCGCAGCGCGGTGCCCTCCGCCTCCACCTCCGCAGGGGCCGGCCGGCCGGGCGGCTCTGGGGCTCCCTCCGGGCTCCACCAGGCTCCTCGGCCGCTGCCCACGGTGGGCGCCGGCCAGGCCGGGCCTCAGGCGGCCGCGGCGTGTCCCATGCCCGGCGGGTGCGGTGCGGTCGGACCCGGGTCAGCGCGGGGACTCCGTCCGCGTCCCGGTCTTTCCGCGCCCGCCGCGGCCCGCCCCGGCCGCCGCGCGCGCAGCAACGAGTTGTAGTGGCCGCCGTCTCCGCGGCTGCAGCTTCTCTTCATATTTGCAGAGCGCCGCGGGCGGGCGGCGCGGCAGAGACTCGGAGGAGGGGCTGAGAGGGCCGGGGAGGGGCGCGGGGAGGGGTCGGCCCCCCTCCCGCCTCGCCCCACCTCCTCCCCACCCGCGGTCCCTCGCTGCTCACCCTCTCCCCCACGTTCTTCCATCCTGCCCCCCCTCCCTTCCTACTTCTCCAGCCCCCTTCGTTCCCTCCCTCGTTTCCCTCCTCCCTTCCCTCCCTTCCAGAGTCCTCAAGCCCCTCAGGCTCTGCCCACCTCTATTCCCCCCCACTTCTCTCCCCCCTTCCTTCCTTCCCCTTCCATCTCCTCTGGCTCCTGGATGTCCACTCCACACGAGTTTCTTTCCTCTCACACTGGCTTACGATTTTTAGCAGTTAGGAAAGAAGATGCATTCTTTACCCCCCAGGCAACTCCTGGACTCTTCCCTCACTACCAAGATGTCTCAGATAGGGTGTGGAGAGCTTCCCAGAGCTTTCCAGAGCAATCTGAGCCAAGTTGGCTTGTTAGGGTTGGGGGCTGCATTGTGCTCTTGCATAGATATTGATGAGACAGAGGAGAGATTAGAGAAAAGTTTGAGTTCTAGAAAATGTCTTGAAGGGAGAGGATGCTGCTGCGTGGGTTCCTTCATTGGTGTGGTGTATGCCTTGACTTTAGTTCCCTACCAGGGCCAGGGGTACTGGGGAGCCCCAGTGTCTTGTCATGGGCCCATATGTAAGAAAGGTAAGGTGTAGGCAGCAGGACTCCCTTCTTCTCCAGAAGATGAAGGAGTTCTTGATGTGCTGGAGAAATCTCAGAGACTCCCTTAGGCCACTTCTCCGAGTCCATTTCTCTCCCAGCACAAATCCATTAACCACAATCTCACTGGTTTTATTTGTGGTCTGTGGTCTTTTTGATTTTACTTTAGCCTTTCAGACTTCAGTTAGGAACAGCGTCTTTTGCCTTTATTTCTCATGGGGTTGGGACAGGCTCTCAGATTTACCCGAGAGATCCCTCCTCTGCCAAACTTCTTGCCTGAGTGCGTTTCTTCTCCTAAACCCACTGTCAGGTCTCCTCCAGCGGAGGACCAGAAGATACGAAATCAGGTTCAGGAGAAAGCATTTCTTGACTCAACTCAGTTTTTCCTCAATAAGACACTTTAAATGAATGCCTAACTTTAAAGGGGAGTTTCTGTCCCTTTGAAGAATGCAATAATTCAACTCCTTAGGCACTAAACTTTCAAAACAAGTTGGGTCTTAGCATCACTGTAATAGTAAGCCAGACAAGAACGCATTTTTCTGCCTTTGCAATCTTTTCCTCTTGAGAAAGCCATGAATGTTTTGGTGTGATGTTGCTGTTGCTATTTGATGTGTTTTGTTTTTTTGTCACCAGTATTATTATCTTTCCATCATTAATAGGAGGAGCATAACACATACCAGCTGTGTAGTGCACAGCATGCTGTGAGACTTTAACTGTGCCATTATTTGCAAGTCTTGAAAGAGCCCATGTGTGGACAAAAAGATGATTGGGAAATGAATCCAAAGAGTATGGATTCCATTGGGAGTCAGTCTTACTCCACTCAGCTTCCTGAGCTGATTTTGTTCTGATCATTGCTCATCCTAATTGCTAGGGGTGGGCAGCACACAGTGATCTATGGCATCTGAATGTTTCACAGTGGGAAATCAAACATTCATTTCATTCATTCAATCAGGCAATACTGGAGCTTGAACTCCAGAGTCAGGGCCTTGAGCTCTCTTGGTTTTATCCCTCAAGACAGGCACTCTACCACTTAAATCACTTGAGTCATACCTCTACTTCTGGCTTTTTGCTTTGTTTTGTGGTCATCCCTAGGCTGGCTTTGAACTGTTATCCTCAGAGTAGCGAGGATTACAGATATGAGCCACTGACACCCAGCAAGTTTTCATTTTAAACCAAGAACTTGATTCTCACAAATGGGCACTTGGAAATGATGTAAATATTACAGTTTGCTGCCTCCACAGAACATTCGCTGTGTCACTAAGAACATATGAGTTTGGTGTTTGGTTTTTCCTAAGTCTTTTAATCTATTGATATCTCTTAGTCTTCCAGTGAATTAAAACAAAAACAACAAGAAAGAATGTAAGAGGCCCTTGAGGGTGGTGTTTTTATATAAGCAACTTTGTTGGTAGTAATTTTTAAATGTCAAGGTCATTCCCACCTACAGAGTACTTAGGTGGTACATTTAGTTCAATAAGGATTTGATTTTTTTTTTCCAGATTTAGCTATACTCTGGGCCTGGGCACTGTCCCTGAGCTCTTTTGCCCAAGGCTAGTGTTCTACTTGAGCCATAGCACCATTTTTCGGCTTCTTTTTATAGTTTAGTAGAGATAGGAGTCTCAGGGACTTTCCTGCTGGGGCTGATTTCGCACTGCAGTCCTCAGATCGCAATGTCCTGAGTAACTGGAATTACAAGCATGAGACACTGATGTCCAGCTGATTGGAATTTATTAAATAAAAAAGAACAAAACCAAGAGGGCAGCTGTAATTTAGTGTCATTTTGAGAGTTGAGTTGACTTTTTTTTTGTTTTTCTAAGTAATTCTACTTATGTGGTATAAACGTAGCCAGAATGATGTCAACAGTTTGAGATGTGTTATGTCAGTTTATTTTCACCATGCACAGTCATAGATTTAGAGCCAGGGGTGTCCTTATGGATTGTTTGTTGAGAAGGTCTAGATTTCTATATGTGTCCTATTAATAAAGCTTGCTTTCCATGGTGCTTTTACTCATTTATTTATTTTAATTTATCTTAAAGACAGTTTGAGCTGTCACCTGTGGCTCACTCCTATAATCCAAGCTGCTAAGGAAGAAGAGATCTGAGGGTTCAGGTTTGAGGCTAGCCTGGGCAGAAAAGTCCAGGAGACTCTTCTTTCCAATTAACCAGCAAAAAGCTGGAAGTGGAACTGTGGCTCAAGTGACAGAGCACCAGTCTTGATCAATAAAGCAAAATGTCAATGCCCAGGTCTTGAGTTCAAACCACAGTACTGGCACAAAAAAGAAAACAGTTTGGCCATGTTGCCTTGGCTGGCTCTGAACTTCTGGGTTCAAGTGATCTGGGAGCCTCAGCTTCCAGGACAGCTGGGATCACAGTCACAGGAGTCTGTATGACCTTTCTTTTGCTCTTGGTGTATCCACTTGTGACCAGTCACAGGAGTCTGTATGACCTTTCTTCTGCTCTTGGTGTATCCACTTGTGAAAAGGAGCAATGAAAAATACAGTCTAAATTTGTGCAATGAGGATTATCTGTGAGTCTGTTCTGGGAGGAATAGAATTGGGGACAGCACTGCTAAGAAGGTGTTAAATCCAGTTCCAAACCTGGATATCTGGGATTGGGGCTAGGTGGTCTAGGTCCTGCTCATGATGGGAGAGTCCTTGAAAGGGGTGTCTAAACACAGGGTTTCCTCAGTTCCCTCAGAGTTTCCTTATTTCAGCATTAGCCAGAATGTCAGAAAATGCAGAGCTCCCCATGGGTAGTGCTGGAGGAGAAATCTCAAGAAGCTGTGTCCTATTCACATAAAAAATCATGAAGTATATGCAGAGCCCCCAGGATTTGTGCAGTCGCCATCATGCTTAGCACGGAAACTTTCCCCCTGGACACCACTAATCTGCAATGGTCTCTCTCTCTCTCTCTCTCTCTCTCTCTCTCTCTTTGAGAAACAGTCCTTTGTGCCTCTTGATGAGTCAGAGTGGGAGCAGATTGATGAGTCAGAGCGGGAGCAGATGCCCTACGGTGTGCGGTGTGCGTGGGGACACAGAGCTGGAGCATTCAGCCTGGCTGGATTTTTGAAGGAAGATTTCACAATGTTTGCAGTGCCAAGGAACTCCTTTTTGCTATTATTTGGGAGGCAAAAAGACCAAGGTTTCTTAGAACTTGAACCATATTTTGGATTTTAAGTCCTGTGAAAATTATGTCATCATGCAGACCGTTTGGCATTCCAGAGATTCTAGACTTTTCCATTTGTGAAGAAAATGGTATTTTAAAGAAGGGTCAGAGAAATGAAAGCACAAATCCTGAAATGTATTTGATAATGAATATGATTGAAATAATTCAGTGTATTTAGAGGCTGGGACATATGACCAGAAAGAAACTTTTCTTAATGCAAACTACATCTCAGTGCCAGGTCTATGCCTTAGTGTTGGTTCTTATAGATGAAAGCTTCTGCAGGTCAGATATCCTTTAGTCAGCACTCTACTTCTCTCAGTACCTGCAGTTCTGATAACTAACCCACACCAGGATTTCCATGGTAAAGATAAAACAGCAACAACAAACAACAACAAAGGCACACAGCTTCCTCCGAAGCAGGGATAACACAATTATCCAGTGTAATCTTTAGAAAGAAACACACTCAAGAGTTATAATGTGAAAGTATACCAAGCAGAGCAAGTGCTGTTTTGAAAATAAAACATGCTTTAGATGTTATGTTTGAGTAGCCCGAATTTAGAGCTCAAGAAGACAAATGTCACATTGTATCTTAGATACCTGGCAATGGCCAGAGGAAAACAAGGATCTCTCACTCATTCATGAGCTTCCATTCATTTCTTCATCTGTTCCTTCTTTCACTGATTCACCCCAGGTGTGTTGGCAAGATATGGAGGATTGGCTCACA